TATGGGTGTTTTGTCTGCATACATGTCCGTGCACTATGTGCCTGGGGCTCATGGAGGCCAGGAGAGGGGGTCCAATCCCCTGGAATTGGGGTTTTGGGCTTATAACCACTGAGCCATCTCAGTCTAACCTTGGATTTTTTTATTTAAAAAAGAAAAACAACATTTTACATCTGTGTGTGTGCTTGCGTGTGCGTGTGTGTGTGTGTGTGTGTGTGTGCGCGCGCGCACACACACAACCCTATGTATCTGTGTTCATTTGTGCTTTTGGAAGTAAGTTTTCTCCTTCAGTTATGTGGGCCAACTGAACTCAGGCTTGGCCAGAATCAGCCTTATCTCCTGAGCCATCTCACGTCTTGGACCTTGTACTGCCCATCCTATCCCCTTGCCTCCACTTCCTCCCAGATGATGCGATCACAGGTGTGTGCCACTGAACTCAGTGCTGAGGATCCGAATGTGAGAGAGACATCCTGCATTCCAGGCATTTCCGGCAACTGCCATAGCAACTGAGCCTCAGCTCCAGCCCTTTGTTCTGAGACGGGGTCTTCCTTGGCTGGCCTCAGGTCTATGGTGATCCCCTCCTCCAGCTCCTGAGTGCTTGGAGTACAGGGCTAAGTCTCCACATCTGGCTTTGCTGATGTTGATTTTGTTGTTGACTTTTAGTGTCGATTTAGTTTTGTTCTTTTGCTTGCTGTTTATAGCACAAGCCAGGCTTGGACTCCTATGCTGGCTCAGCCTCCTCGGTGCTAGGATTTTAGCTGTGGCACCACACCTGGTTTTCTTGGGGTTTTGGTGCTGTTTGTTTGTTTTTGGTTTTCTTATTATTATTATCATCATCTGTTTGGGTCTTTTTGTGGGTGTGGGGGGGGGATTGTGATTTCTTTTACCTTTGTAAGGAAGGGTCTTGCTTTGTATACCAGGCTAGCCTTGAACTCCTGGTCCTCTTGCTTAGCCTCTCAAGTGCTAGGCTCCTAAGTCATGCCTGGGTATACTAGGGGTTCTGTGGGTAGACGTAATATAACCTTATGTCCTGGTGTCCTGGTGAGAAGCTCCCAGGAGGAAGTGTCAGACTCAGACTGAGACACACCATTGCTGTGAGTCTTGTGGGGCGGAGTCATGGGCAGATGAAGAACACAGGACCCAGAGAGGACTGTGGGCTGGCTAAAGGGTCTCAAAATTTGAAGACAGCAGATATTAAGAGCTTCATGGAAGGCTGGAAAGATGTCTTTGAGATTAAGAGCACTGACTGTTCTTCCAGAGGGTCCTGAGTTCAATTCCCAGCAACCACATAGTGATTCATAACCATCTATGATAGGATCTGGTGCCCTCTTCTGGCATGCAGGTGTACATGCAGACAGAACACTGTATACATAATAAATAAATAAAATCTTTAAAAGAATCGGAACTGGCCCGTAAGGAGAGAGTAAGAGGCTTGCCCATGGTCACCTGCTACACCTTGGCCAGGCCCGGCTCAGGATACAGCCCACCCACTCCCGCCCTGCCTTTCTGTGTCTGGCATTATGCACTTCATACGGTCACAGCTGACCACCCTCTGCATGATCTTCACCCTTGCCTGAGACTGCATGGCCAATTTCACCCCCAGGATGGCTGCTGTTTGGGAAAGATGGGAGCTGTTCCTGGCATGCCTTGTACTCAAGATGCCCTGGCCAGGTGCCTGGCCTGGTGGCACAGGTGAGAAGCTCCCTGCCCTCTTCACCACTCTCTTCTCTCTCTCTCTCTCTGACTTCAGGGTATTTTCTTGAATCCCTCCTCTGAGCTCCCTTCTGGTTCTGAGGAGGGAGGCCTGGACCTTGGGTACCCCTGGTCCTGCAGGGAGAGATGATTGACAGGATCGAGTACAACGTGGAGCACGCTGTGGACTACGTGGAGAGGGCAGTGTCTGACACCAAGAAAGCCGTCAAGTACCAGAGCAAGGCGCGCAGGGTCAGTGGCCAGCTCTGTCCAAGCCCGTGCCCCAGAGAGCCCCCAGGCTGTGAGACACTCCTCCCCACCTGCCTCTGTCCCGTTTTCAGAAACCCAACCATAGCCTTCACCGCTCCATCAACAGCCCATTCTAGGCCATCCCCTACCCCTTGTCCTGACCCTTCAGATCTCAACCCTCATTTTCCTGATTTTTGGGTGTTTTTGTCCATATAGGGGATGGAACCCAGGATCTAGCACATGCTAGACAAAAGCTCTACTACTGAGATCTACCCCCAGCCCCTCACTGGGGGATTCTAGGCTGGCATTCTGTTATTCAGCCCCAGTCTGAGCCCTCATTCTGGCTCCCCCTTTCTGGTACCCCCATGCTCTTCTGAGGCCTGCCTTTGTCTCCCTGCAGAAGAAGATCATGATCATCATTTGCTGTGTGATTCTGGGCATCGTCATCGCCTCTACCATCGGGGGCATCTTTGGATAGACACCAGCTCCACCCACCTCTCCACTCTGGACGGGTCTCCCCGAAGAGGCCTCTGGCTGCTGCGCCTAGCTGGGTTGCCCTCCCCATCCCTGCCTTCTGGCTGGGAACCCTTTTCCTCCCCATCCCATACTGCTCCCTCTCTGCCATGAGGCTCCCGTTCCTACCACCCTGCCCCAAGCCGTGTCGTGTGCATGATCTTGTGACAGTGTGTATCTGTACAGGAGGCAGAGGGGAACAGGATCGGGAACAGCCAGAGGGGCTGGGGACAGGTCAGTGTGGGCAAGACTCGGGCCCTGACCAGGTCCGTCTTTCTTCAGGCCTGAGGTCCACCCTCCCCTGGGACTTGGGCTCCTTTCTGGACCCCAACCTTGCCCTCCCCTGCCCTGCCCTCTGGCTTCTCCAGCTCTCCCCACCATGCCATGGCACCTGGAGGGTGGGGACCAGCTGGTTACATGGTGCTGCTTTTCAGGTTAGGGGAGAGGTGTCCTAAGGGATAGCCCAACACTGAAGTCTTTGTTAGCTTACCACTGCCAGGAGGCTCAGGGTGTCATGGCTGCCGGTGTGTTAGGAGCACCCAGCATCCCCACTTTGGGCAAAGCTGACAATGTCTCTGGCCTCGGCTGCCCTTATCACAGACTCGGGAGTCGTGTCCCTGGGCTGGGCCTGAGCCTAGTGAACTTCTGCAAGAAGCGTGGTGGTGTCCTCTCCAGCCTGGCTTGGAGCTGAGAGGTAGATCAGACCTCAGGCCTCTGCCCACAGTCTCTAACAGGCATGTTGAGTCGCGGCCAGGGTTGCATGTTGGGGACAGTGGTCCCCTGCTCTCTATATGTTCTGAAAAGCCAGGTGTCTCCCACTGATGTGCCACGTGATGTCAGGTGTACTGGATGCAGTATTCAGTAGCCAGCTGGGGAGGGGGCTCCCCACTCCCCTCCCCTGCTATCTTGGGGCTTCTCAGAGTCAAAAATGTATCCCGTGCCCCAGGAACCTTTTCTTGTCCACAGGCAAGGAGTATGCATGCGAGCGCATGCAGTGGGAGTTGGGGCCGTGTCTGTGTGCCCCCTCCCCTCAGCTTTGCTCCTGCCCAGTGACTGTGACCACTGTCCGTGCTGCCTTCTTTCACGGCCACTCCCTCCACCCCTTCACCAAAGGTCTTGGTACAACCAGCTACCCATTTTGTGAGATTTTTATGTAGAATAAACATTTGTATCTGTAGTGAGCCTCTGCTTGGAACTTTTTTTTCCCATTTGCAGTGTAGGGGGTACGAGATCAACCATGTGGGTACTGAAAGGGAAGGGGCTCAGAGACGGAGGATTCCCAACTTTCCCGCAATACGCAGGCCTTCAGCTGCTTCTGGATGGACAGTGGGTAACATCTGGGCTTTTCTGAGACCACCCCAGAACCCCACCCTTACCTAGGGGAGAGCCACCTTCACCTATCAGAGGTATGAATGTTTTGCCAGCATGTGTGCCTGGAGCCAACAGAGCTCAGAAGAGTGAGTTGGATCCCTGCAACTGGACATATGGATGGTTGTTAGCTGCCACATGGGTGCTGAGAACCAATTCCCAGTTTCTCTGCCCAGACAACCAATGCTCTTAACTGCCAAGCCATCTCTCCAACTCCCAGATATTTATTTATTTATTTAAGTTTTGTTTAAGACAGGGTCTCACTATGTAGCTCTTACTGTTCTGGAACTTACTAGGTAGATCAGGCTGACTTCAAATTCCGAAGTCAGAAGTCAGCTTCCCGAGTGCTGGGATTGAAAGGGAGCAAGCACCACCATGCCTGACTATTTATGTGTGTCTGTCGTGTGAGTGCAGGTGCCTGTGGAGGCCAGAAGAGGGCGTTGGATCCCCTGGTGCTGGGATTATAGCTGGTTATGTGGGTGGTAGAAACCAAACTCAGGACCTCTGGAAGAGAAGTACATGCTTTTAACCACTGGGCCATCTCTCTAGCCCCTAAAAAGAAAAGTACACATGGTGCCTGGGTGTGCGTGCATGTGTGAGGAGATCAAAAGATAACTTTGGGCTTTGGTCCTCACCTTCTGCCTGTGCAAAGCAGGATCTTTTCTTCACTGTGTATAGCTGACCCACGAGTTTCACCGACTTCTGCCTAACTAGCAGCATTACTACATCTGGCTTTACCTGGGTTCCTGAATCTGAACTCCTCATTCACATGGCAAGAACTGTACCCACAGGGCCTAAGTCCTGGATCTGGTCCCTGGGAGATGCAACTCTAGGGGTTAAGGCCCTTAGGCTCCTCTCCTTCCCTGTTCAATGCATTCCTGCTGTGCCATATCTAGATGTAGTTGCCTCCTCCGAGGGAGATACATATGTATCAAATGTCCTTAGCCTGGCAGACACCACACCTAGAGCAGGACCTGTGCTTCTGACCACTTGCGACTGTCCCAACAGCCTGAGGTCACCTCCCATGTGAGACAAGGGACTTGGCAGAGACTCGAGGCAGTGGATACCTCAAGTACCCAAACCCCATTCCCAACCTCGCATGGCATTGACATGAGAAATGAGTCCTGATTCAAGGAACCCATCTGTGCCCCTCCCAAGATGGAAGAAAGCTTCTGTCCATTCCAGGTTTTTAAATCCAGCTCCTGGCTAGGAGCCATGCAGTGGTCCCTAACAGAGGAACCCGAGACACAGGTTAATATAGAGCCACCAGTTACTTAGAAACTAAATTAATGTATTTAGGACAAAATAAAACATTCTTAGAAAATTTTTTTCACTTTGTTTTTTTAAAACAGGTTTTTTTGCTGTGTAGCCCAGACTGGCCTGGAACTTTCCATCTTGATGCCTCAGCCTCCAAGGAGGGTGTTGGAATTACATGATCTGGGCTGCCAAACCCAAATCCCTGGAACACTTTTAGTGAAAAAATATTTTGAGAAATTCGCAACTTTTCTAAAATACTATGTTGCTAGCTGCTGAAGTAAACAGTTCAATCTAGAAAATTCCTCAGAGGCAGGTCCTGGATTGGACAGCTCCCAACCTCTGAGCAGAGTGGGTGGCCAGGGCCATCTGCAGGACTGGATGCAGGTGTGGGTGGCCAGAGCCACCTGCAGGACTGGATGCAGGTGTGGGTGGCCTGGGTCGCCTGTAGGACTGGATGCAGGACTGGATGCAGGTGTGGGTGGCCAGACTCCCCTTGATTAGATGAAGCGCCCTCAGAAACGGGGCTTGCGCTTGCGGCCTGTGTACTGGGTGTCAGGTCTGACCTCCCTGCAGACAGACAGAACAGACTCAGGAGAAGGAAGAGCTCTGTGACCACAAATGCAGATTACGTCTTGGTGGGCACGGCCTCCTCCTCCCTGCCTGCCGCCCACCCCCAGCTGGTACTCACTTGCCCTGGCGCCTGCGCCGCTCCTTCTTCTCTAGGACCCACTCGCGGCTCTTTTTCACCAAGTCCCGCCGTGCCTTCTTGTGTGGAGCCCTAGGCAGAGACAAAAGTGAGAGGGTGCCTAAGCTGTCACAGGGAGGGGGAGTGTTAGCTCTGAAGCCCCCTCTTCCCATCTATCACCTCCACTCTGGACACCTCCGTAACAGGACCAGAACCTCTGGTTTAGCAGAGCTGTGGGGCAAAGTCCCTGTCCCTACAAAGTATCATTAGGCAGATGGCCTTGTGTCTGGAACACACCTTATCTATAAGGTGACTCCAGAAAGGAGGAACTCAAAAAAAAAAAGTAACCTGGTTGTGTCCAAGGAAAGCCATGGAACCTGCACAGTCCAATGCTGCCACTTAAGGTCCCTGTCTGGGTTGGGGCTCAGTGTGCCTAGCAGAAGCCAGTGTCATTCAACCTCACCCCCCACCCCACCCTAGCTTCTGTCAATGTCTGAGGCCGGAAAACAAGGCTGCCCGCTCATGGCAGTCCTGACAACAAAGCCTCTCACAGATCATCTTGGCCTCCAGCCCTGGCTGAGGAGGAATGTGTTCCCCACAGCCCAATGGACAAAAGGCCCATGGAAGAAAGGGAGTCTACGCACCCACCCATAACCACAATCCCATTGGCTGCCGGGATGAAGTGATTCAGCCTAGCTTGAGGGAGAGCTGCCGGCTGCTTCAGTATGGTCTGTGGCCCCTGGGTGCAGACAGGAGCCATGTCAAACCTTCCTCTAGCAGAGGCAGAGCAGAGCTCCAAGAGCTACTCAGCATTGTAGCAGGGGCTGGGCTATGTGCAGCGACCCACGCCACCAGGAAAGAGGGGCAGGCCACACGAGGCCAAAGGGAGCCACGGAAGGAAAGGAGGAGCATCCATGTTGCTCCTGGAAGTCGGGCCAGGTGCAGTCAGAGGTTACTACAAATGCAGGGGATCCAAAGGTCATACAGAACACATGGAACACACAGAACACTGCAAGGGCAGTGCAGACGGGAGCATGCTGTGGAATAGAATATTGTTTTCAGTAAGGATGTGTTATATTTGTTTGTGTTATGTTTGTGTTGCATAATATTTGTTTTACTAAGATGTGTTTCATCTGTTCCTGCTGCATTTGTTTAACTATGTAAAGATGTGTTGCTGTTTCACTTTGCCTGCCTACGGTACCTGATTGGTCTAATAAAAAGCTGACTGGCGAATAGCTAGGCAAAGAAGGGCTAGGCAGGGCTGGCAAGCAGAGAGAAAAGGGGGCCTGGTCAGCCAGGGGTCAGCCAGCCACAGAGGAAGCAGGAAAGCAGGATGGACAGTGTGTAGATGAGGTAAGCAAGCTTTGGGGCAGCACACAGATCAACAGAAACGGGTTAAGTTAAAGAAGCTACCTAGAAACAAGCCTAAGGGAAGGCCAAGCACTCAGAACCAATAAGCCTCCGTGTCATGATTTGAGGGCTGCTCCAAGGGAGCCTGCTACAGGAACAAGATGCGAGCCACTAAAGAAAGGCAAGAGAAAGCCATCGAGGTGGGTGAAAGGAAAGGGCAAGTGAGCACGGGGGCCAGGAGTGATGGGCAGGGAAGTGACGCCATGTGGAAACCTGCTTCTTCTCATAGTGACAGAAACAAACGGCAGATGAGCTGGCTGAGAGCAGGAACTTGCGGTAAGCCTGGCCCCTGATCCTTGCCCACTCCTCTTAGCTTCCCTGCTCGTTCCCCATTGAGACTCTTCTAGATGTTTCTACTTGGCTTTGCTGAGGAAGTACCAGGCATCCAACTCCTCCAGCACCTAGGGTCCCTCGCCCTCATGCTGGTGTTGGATGGTGACATGTGTGTGTGCTCTATGTTAGCTGGGCCGTGTTGAACAGCCTGGGCATCTGTTCCCAACTGTGAGCTGTGTGTGGATAGGAAGACTCTAGAGGGTAGAGCCGAGGATGCAGGAGCCAGGGAAGCCTGGGGTCCAGGCTGTAGCTAAAGTGGCTGGGGGAGGCCGAGAAGCGGGGGGAACGTCACAGGAATGCCCTGTCAAGTGTGTGAAGGGAGCTAAGGCACTGTGGCTGCCCCAGTACCCAGCCTGAGGAGGAGGAGGCACATCTGGTTGTGACATCACTTTGGCACTGTAGCTGGGTCTAACCTGACTCAGGTGAAAGCAGAGGAAAATGCCCGAGCCCTTGCCTGGGTCCCGCACCTAGGCCCCTCACACCTTACCTTTCACTGGTGAAGGCGGACTCGGTGGCCTGGTCTGCATCCTGACTTTCAGTCAACCCCTGTAGGAGACAAAGCTTCTGAGTCGCCCTGGCGCTCTCTGCCGCAACACAAGACACGTGTGTATTCAGGCCTGAGTAAGTCCAGCAGGCCTAAAAGTCAGGCTACAGGGGTTGGTGGTCCGTCCCAGGACCTGCAGAGGTCTCAGTTGAGCTCTGTGCAAGGGATTGGGGAACCCTAACCACCGAAGCCCTCCCAGCATGCTCTTGCGCTGGGAGTAGAAGGCAGCCTGGGAGCCCAAGACCCTTACCTTTGGCAGGGAGGTGGAAGGCCCAGAAAAGAGACAGAGGTAGAACCTGAAACAAGGCAGAGCAACGTGAGGCCTGGCTCATAAGGCCAAGCAGAAGAGACAACTTGCATCTTCTGTGCCCTGACCTCCTACCCAGCATCCCTTTGTTGACTCAGTAGACTGCAAGGGCCCCAGCTGTGTAGACAGTGCTAGGCCCAGCACTCACTGTGTATGTGTATACCGAGGTCAAGCTCAGCTGTCACTCCCCAAGACACTCTCCACTGCATGTTTGACAGCGTCTCTCACAGTACTAGAGCTCACCATCCAGGAATCTGCCTGTCTCCGTCTCCCCAGTGCCTCGTTGGAATTACGAGCAAGCACACCACGCCCAGCCTTTTACACAGGTGCTGGAAATGGGAGCTCAGGCCCTCATGCTTGCACAGCAAGCACTTCACCAGCTATGCCGCCGCCCCTGCCACTTACTTCTTTGCTTTGGCACTGTTGGGGAAGTCCACCACCACGCCGCCGGTGAAGCCTGCCCTCGTGGCCTGGGTTGTGATCAGCTCCAGCTGAGGAGAGAGGGGCCAGGGAGCAGATGGAGGGGTGGGAGGGACAGACAGAGGTCCCCAGCCCTCATTGGTCAGAATCTAAAGCACGGTCTAGCTAGGCCTTTCTGACTCAGAGGCCTCCAAAGCCACCAAGGCATAAAGTGGGGGCTGTAACCAGTCTCTGTAGCCCCACCCTGAGGAGAGTGTCAGCACAAAGCGGTTCTGCTCGTTCCCATGTTCTGGTCCAGGGACCCATCTCCCTACTCTCAGGAAACCAGACTCGGTTCTGTTACATGTCAAGGACCTGCAGCTCACTGTCATTCTAAGCCCTAACTCCTGCCACAGAAGGCAGAACTGCTGAGGTCCTCTAGCTGTGGGTTATGGAGATGCATTGTATCACAGCACATTCTGGGACACCGCCTTATCTGTTTCCATTTTACTCTCTCTGTGCTGGGGATGGAGGCCAGGTCCTCATGGATGCTAGATGAGTGCTCACTACTAAGCCACATCCCCAGCCTCCCACCATCTCATCTATCAACAACACACCAGCCTCCCCTACGGCCACACCCCCTCTCAGGGAGCCATCTGGGGTCACTGTGCCATCACTAGGGTGCTCCTTCCCTCTTTTCCACCAGGCCGCCAGAGTTCCTTGTTCTACCACAGAAAGAAGGCAGTTGAATGGAGAAGGCTGATCCACACCCCGCTCCCGGCAGATCTAGATAGCGGCTCACCTGCTCCGAGTTCTCAGGGTACAGCTGCAGAACAGCTCGAGCCCCACGGACCTGTGAGCAGCAGAAATGTCATTGACCATGTAAGCGCATGTGGGATGATGGCCACGGTGCACTTCACTTACTAAACATTTACAGAGCTCCCGTCACAAGGCTCAGAACACCATCATGAACACGACTCCTGAATGGGGCACTCGCTGGTAAGGCAGGCACTTAACTTACAGCTATGGCAAGAGACAAAGGAAAACATAGCGCGTGCCTGTACCCTAAGCCTTTGGGAGGCAGAGGCAGGAGGATCACTACTTGCTCACGCCCAGCATAGTTTACACAGGAAGTCCCTGTCTCAAAAGAAAAAGGACAAGAGCCGGGCGATGGTGGTGCACGCCTTTAATCCCAGCACTCGGGAGGCAGAGGCAGGCGGATCTCTGTGAGTTCGAGACCAGCCTGGTCTACAGAGCTAGTTCCAGGACAGGCTCCACAGCCACAGAGAAACCCTGTCTCGAAAAACCAAAAAAAAAAAAAAGAAAAAGGACAAGAAACAACAATTACGCAGTAAGTGTTGGGATTGAAGGTGGCACCACAACACCTGCCATGAATTTTTTTTTGAAAATTTACTTATTTATTAATTATGTATACAATAGTCTGTCTATATGTATGTCTGCAGCCCAGAAGAGGGCACCAGACCTCATTACAGATGGTTGTGAGCCACCATGTGGTTGCCGGGAATTGAACTCAGGACCTTTGGAAGAGCAGGCAATGCTCTTAACCACTGAGCCATCTCTCCAGCCCCTGAATTTTTTTTTTAATTAAAAAAGAAGGTGACAGTGCAGGGAAGTGCAGAGGACATGGGCACTCTGTGTGCTGGACATGACATCACTGCCCTCGCTCAACTGCCTCAGATGTTGACTGCGATGCTCCTGGGTTTAGTCAGATGTCCGCCCTTTGCACTTGGACCCTTTTTCCTTTTGCATTTTTGAGACATCTCTGGCTGACTTTGAATTTTCTATGTAGCCAAGGCTGGTCTTGAGCTCCCAACTCTCCAGTCTCTGCCTCCAAGTGTTAGGATTCCAGGTCTATACCACCACGCCCAACTGAGTCTTGACAGGCTACGTGTCCTTTCTCAACAGCTTTCCCATCATGACCTCAACTTCATCCTTGCACTTCCGAGGCAGGAGAATGACAGACAGACAGAACCAATAGGAGGGGAGCTATACTCACGAGGGCAGAGTACAGAGAAGAGAAGAAGCGGTAGAGTCGCCTGGCAGGGACGTCTGACTTCTTGTTTGCATTGCAGAGCCACTGAACAGCTGAGATGCTGAAAAGAAAAGGACCCAGTCAGGAGGGCCAATGCCCTCACCAGTGACTCCTGAGGAATCTGCCATTATCCACCATACTCTGCTGCACACAGCTCCTGTCCTACAGGCCAGTCCACTCTTGGTCACTTCCTTGCAACATAGAACCAACTGGGGGCAGCACTCACTTCCTTTAGTTATTCCAGGAAAATCCTCTCTCAACCAACGTCTGTGTGTACGTCCAGGAGCCCAGGCCGTTACTGCCCACCTACCCCTCCACTCTCCGCCGACCGACAGAGGAAACCCACTAGACAGCAAGCACTTACACCCAGCCATTCATCTGCCTTTCCGTGTTCTGCTGCAGCTCTCAAGGCTCGTACCCTCCCCCACCTGTCCCTTGATCTGGATCTCACTCTGGCCCACACCTCCTCACTGCTGGGGTGACAACCATGGGCAGCGACATTTCATATTTTTAACAGCAATTTTAATGCTCCAAAGCTCGTTATTAAAGTCCAGGGGCTGGAGAGATGGCTCAGCAGTTAGGAGCACTGACTGCTTGTCAGTTCCCAGCACCCACACAGCAGTTCACAGCCATCTCCAGTTCCAGGTGGAACTGAACACTGTCCTCTAGCCAGCACAGGGACAAGGCACGCATGTGAAACACACACACACACACACACACACACACACACACACACACACACGTGTCAACATGCTCAAAAAATAAATTTTTAAAAACTTAAGTTTTTCAAGACAGGGCCTCTCTATGTGGTCCTGGACACCCTGGAACTCACTCTGTAGACCAGGTTGGCCTTAACTCAGAGATCCACCTGCCTCTGCCTCCAAAGTGCTGGGATTAAAGGGGTGCACCACCACCGCCTGGGAAAACAATTAATTATAGGTCAGTGTGTCTATAATCCCAGAAATGGGGAAATCAGAAGCAGAGCCAGGCAGATGCCGGAAGCTCACTGGGAAGCTAATCTGGTCTGTGTGACAATGGTCCACAAAGAGAGCTTGTCTGAAACAAAAGAAAGAGTCTGAGGATTGGTACCTAAGGATGCTCCCTTGCCTCCACCTGTTTGTTCCCACATACACAAGATGTGCATACACACAACAATTTTTTAGCAGCCTTTGACCTTATAAATCTCAGAATCTTAGAAGATGTACATTTGTTTAATTACATTTACTGCACATGCATCCTGGCTGATGCACAGAAGAGAGACAATAATCTTCAAGAACCTTTATTCTCTCCACCATGTGTTTTCTGTACCAAACAGGTTTGTCAGGCCTGGTAACAAGTACCTGTAATCAGAGCCAGCTCACAGGCCCAGAACGTGTAAAATTTTAAATATCACGTATGCCCGCTATGCAGCTGCGTTTAGGAAACACTGGTGTACGAAATTACAAGTAGGAAGTGAAGACCCTCACCTGATACAGCCATCAAAAGAACCTGGTCGGAAAGGGACTCCCTGCCCCATGTCCCCTAGCAGCAGGTCTCCCTCTGTGTCTCGGTCTAAGGCAGCATCTACATGGGAGGAAGGGAAAGTATGGGTACTGCTGCTGCAGACAGGTATAGTGGCCGGGCCTGTGATCTCAGCAACAGGGAGGCTGAGGCAGGAGCATCCCACGTTGGGGACTGGTCTGGGCTATATGGCAAGACCTGATCTCAACCAGAAATCCAATTTAGCTGTTCCATACTCAAGAGGATAGTCACATTGGTACAGACAGAGCTAACTTACCCAACATGGCAGAGCTGATGTCAATGCCCACCCAATAGTGCCCCTCCTCTGAGATATAGTCTCCACTCAGTCCAGTACCGCAGCTGTAGGAAACAACCGACAGGGGTCACAGAGCTGAATAGTAAAGACCCTCCACCCCACCCAGGCAATGAGACCTGGGGCCCCAGGACCTCACCCAATGTCCAACAGATAAGAGGGCTGACCCTCTGGCAGACAGAGGAGCTCCAGTGCCCTCTCAGTCATCTTGGTCTGGATGTCAATCATCCGTGAGCTGGGAAGCAGAAAAACATAGGAGTAGTTAGAGTTTCTCTTAGTTCAAAAGAGTTAGGAGAATTTAAAAAAACAATCAACCAGAGGTACTTTCTCCTAACTTTAAAATTTTTTATTTTGCCTGGCAGTGGTGGCGCACACCTTTAATACCAGGACTCGGGAGGGAGAGGCAAGCAGATCTCTTGAGTTCAAGGCCAGCCTGGTCTATAAGAGCTAGTTCCAGGACAGTCAGGGTTACACAGAGAAATCCTGTCTTGAATAATTTAAAAAAAAAATTATTTATTTCATTTAGTGTGTGTGTGTCTGGATGCATGTGGAGGTCAGAAGCCAACTTGCTCAATTTGGTTCTCTTCTTCCAACATGGAGGTTCTAGGGATCAAACTGAGTCATGAAGCTTGGTTAGTAACCCCTGAGCTATCTCACCAGCCCTTGCCCAACATTTTAAACCTACAATTCTCACCGGAAATCAACAACTCAAATGCAGTTATTGAACGTAGCCCCATCATGGGCATGGATGTTCCCACAAAATCCCACCACTCAAAAGGCTGGCATGAGACTAAGAGTTTAAGTTCAATCTGGGCAAGACTTGCCTCAAAACAGCATCAACAAAGTAAGCCCAAAAGTCCATTTGATACAGTAGTATGTCATTTTATCGTGTACAGATTGTTAAGTGCACCAGCTGCAAGGCTGACAGGAGTAGAGTAAGTCACTCAGCAGATGAGCAGTCAATGACTCTCTACACCTGTGCTGGTTTGGATGCTCATTCCCTAGGGATGCGTTCTCTCCGAGAGTCATCTGCCATATCTACTCCCGTCTACACGGACCAACAATGCACAAGTGTTAGGCATGTGTGACATGTGTCTTGGGGGTGAAGCACTTGTCAACTCACAAGAGGCCCTAAATTCAAAGCCCTGTACCTCCAAAAACCAAAATGATTCGCCTCGGTAGTAAAAAGTGTGTGCCAGACCACACATCCTACCCCCACTACCTGAAAACAAAAACCAGGTGTGGTGATGCACACCTCCACTGAACCAGAACCTGAGCAAGCACACCTCTGTGAGTTCAAGGGCAGTTAGGGCTACATAGTGAGACTCTGTCTCAAAAGGAAGGTGGGGGAGGGAGAGAAACAGTAAACAGAAGAACAGGACATGATTGTACATGCCTATAATCTCAGCATGCAGAAGGCTGAAGCAGGAGGGTCACTTCAAGTGAGGCCAATCTGGGTCACCTGATGTGAACATATCTCAAAAAAAAAAAACTAACAAAAATAGAACAAATAACCTATTGTAATTATGTTATGTATGTTTTATATACTCAAAGAGTTATTTCAATATGGAATCAGCAAAAAAAAATGTGAGTTGTGTCTTTTTTTTTCACTTCTCCACATTGTCATTCAGAGTTAAAGAATTTTACTAGCTAGCTACTGGCTGCCATATTGAACAGAATAGTCCTACATCTGGTCTGTCCAAAATAAAAGTAAATAATCACACACAATAGTTCCCATAGAGCCACACATGCTGGACCATGTCTGCAATTTCCACACTTGGAAGATGGAGACAGTAGGGTCAGGAATTCAGTCACCTCTGATACACAGGAAGTTCAAGAATACCCTGGGCTAGGGGAGACCATGTTTCAAACAAACAAAACCAAATAAACTATCCTGTAGAGTATTCAGACGATGTTTCTGTCAATGGCTGCCATGACAATTTAGTGCAATCATGCATTTAAATAAGAATCACAAGAAACCCATAATGACTATGTCCTCCCTCCTAGTAGTATTCATTCCTTTCTGGGGGTGTGGCTCAATGGTAAAACTTCTGCCTAGAATCCCCAAGTGAGGGGCTGAGGGTGTGGCTCAATGACAGAGCACACAGACAATATGACAGTATCCTACAGATATCCTCTAACTATGCCTACTTTACCACATGTTTAAAACACATTGCCGGGCGGTGGTGGCTCACGCCTTTAATCATAGCACTTGGGAGGCAGAGACGGGTGAATCTCTGTGAGTTCAAGGCCAGCCTGGTCTACAAGAGCGAGCTCCAGGGCAGGCTCCAAAGCTAGAGAAACCCTGTCTCGAAAAAGCCAAAAACAAACAAACAAAAATAACCACACATTGTCAAACGACCTAGTGTAAACTAGAAACGAAAACATCCACACTGGAACCAAGGTATCAAAATCCCTCCAAGAGTTCGACGGTTTAAAATTCACTTTACCGGTGGCAGAACTGCATTTACTCAGGTCCCTCATCTCCCCCACTCCCAAATTCTAGATGCTTTCCAAGCGACACCCATAATGAGGGCGACTTGCCGATCCCGACCCCCGATGCCATTCAACAGCCATGTTCTCCTCACTTGCGAACGTATTTCCGGGCTTCATTTTGGTCATAAAACTGTTGGGAAGAGAAAGACACATGGGATATGAGGGGGAGAACCCAAAAACAGGCATGCTAGAAGAAGACCAAGCCCTGACAAGGTTCTCACCAGCTCTGGCGGTCCGCTGTGCTCGGGTCTCCGGCTACGAGACGCCATCTCTAGGGTACCGCAGCACGCTGGTGCCGGCAAACCTCGGAGCAATGTTTGACGTCATCAACTCTGCGACTATTCCCCCCCCCACACACACACACCTAGAGCTCACACTCTAAACGTTCCCCGCCTATCTTTTTATTTGATTGGCTACAAGCCGGAGGCGCCGCTCACGATTCGCGGTTCCCATTGGCCGGCTGGGCGCCGCCCAGTCCCCGCCACAACATGGCGGCCGCGCGCTGCCTGGGCTGGCCGCTGTCATCGCTGTGGAGGCTGTGGCAGGCTCGGGGGTTGCCACAAAATTCGGCCGCCGGCTGGTGCTCGCGAGGGAGGCCTTACTCCCGCACTGCCCTCTACGAGATGCTGGGCGTCCCCTCCTCGGCCACGCAGGCGCAGATCAAAGCGGCGTACTACCGGCAGAGCTTCCTCTACCATCCTGATCGCAATCCCGGGAGCCCCGAGGCCGCCGAGCGCTTCACGCGCATCGCCGAAGCTTATCGAGTCCTGGGCAGCACCATCCTCCGTCGCAAGTATGACCGAGGTCTGCTCAGCGACCAGGACCTGCGCGGACCCGGTGTCAGGCCCTCTAGGGCACCCCCGGACGATCCCCCTCCTCCACCTCGCCCTCCTCCCCATACCCCTAGGGCTCACTATGGCTCTCGGGCCTTTCCCGGCGACCGTCGCACTATGTTCGACTTTGACGCCTTCTACCAGGCGCACTATGGAGAACAGCTAGAAAGAGAGCGGCGTCTACGCGCCCGGAGGGAGGCCCTTCGCAAAAAGCAGGAGGACCAGGCCAATAAGGGGCTACGCTGGGATGATACCCGAGATGCCACTTTCATTGTCCTCTTTTTCCTCATCTTCGTCTTCATCGGCTTTCGTATTTAATCGGAGAAACGGAAGGAAGGGGAACCAGCCCAAGAAACTTGCCTTTCTTGACCTTTGAACTATTGGTCTTGGAATGAATTGATTACCTCTGGTGGCGTTCCCTTGACTCTCCTAGCACCTTCCCAGCCTGGCTGGTGATCAACACAGCCTTCTCCTATGGTCAAGAAAGAGGTCCCAGGAGAAAGATAACCGAAAACCATGAATGTACGTGCTTTCCAGAGCCGCCCCTGGGTGCCTGCTTGTTTCTAGAAGTTGCCTTCCACATGTCAACTCCCAGAACAAGTGCTCTGGTTTTATCCGGAAGCCCTTAGCAAGCCTTTTCTGGTCCCTTACCTCATGTTTATACCATGGGGCAGCACTTCCTCTGTAACCCTTGAACCGTGCCAATCTTTTTGTCCTCTGTCAAAAAGATTAATTCTTGGGGCTTGCCTGAAACTTGTCTTTCTGTGTTACCCCAAGCCACAGGTGAGACTTGATCAACCATCCCGCAGATGCTGGGGATGTAGCTCAGTGAGAGAATATGCTAGCATGCAGCAGGCACTGGATTTGGTTCCCAGCATTGCTGTTGTCCTGTGACCCCTTTCCCCTCCAAGAAAAAAGTTAGTGAAAGATTGCCATTTTCTTAGGTCTGTTCCACACTGCGTCTCTCGCGTGGAAACAAGGAAGCCAAGCCCTTGAGTAAGAGGAATGTGTTCCTGTGTTCATACTTTTCTAGGGTGTGACCTTGGGGAAGGTGCCCTGTGGGTGTGATAGCAGAAGAGTAAATAATTTGCTCTCCTGAGGTCTGTCAACTAGTACGTATTCTACTCGTATTCTACTCATGGTAGTGAAGAAGGGTGATACTACTTAGGCCAAGTTCTTGGGACAGTGTTCCTGTCCTTGGTCTGCCTTTTCCTAGCCACTTGCATTGCTAACTGAGCAGTCTGCTGACTGTGACAAGACTTAGCACTTGAGTGTGGCCCATGCATCTGCAGTGCTGATCAGAGGTGCCACGAGTCAAATCTTTCTAACAGGCTCTTGGATTATGTGAGTAATTTTGGGTCCTGGAATAGAAGCAGCAAGAAGCTCACTAATTAAGAAGGAGTTGAAGTCCAGATTGTAGTACAGGCCTCTAATCCACAGAGGAAGCTGAGGCTGGAGGATTGTGACCAGTTACATAGCAAGGCTTGTCTTTAATAAATGTAAGACAGGCATGCTGACTCACATTTTTAATCAGAGCTACATAGTGAGACTGAGACTCTTAATCTCAGGGTTGTGGGTTTGAGTCCCATGTTGGGTGCCATTTGTAGACAGAAATTTCTGTCCCACCTGTTTCTGCAGTTATTCAGTCCCAAAGAAACACACGGAGACTTATATTAATTATAAACTGTTTGGCCTATTGCTCAGGCTTATTACTAACTGGCTTTTACAACTTAAATTAACTCATAATTCTTATCTATGTTTAGCCACGTGACTTGGTACCTTTTCTCAGTAAGGCATTCTCATCTTGCTTCCTCTGCATCTGGCTGGTGACTGACTCACTGCCTTTCCTCTTCCCAGAATTCTCTTAATCTGGTCACCCCACCTATACTTCCTGCCTAACTACTGACCAATAAGTGTTTTATTAAACTAATACAAGTGACAAATCTTTACAGTGTACAAGAGCATTGTCCCACAGCATAAGACCCTGTCTCAAGAAAGAAAAAAGATTCAAAAAAAAAGTTGAAAAATAGGTTCCTTGGCCGGGCAGTGGTGGCGCACGCCTTTAATCCCAGCACTCGGGAGGCAGAGGCAGGCGGATCTCTGTGAGTTCGAGACCAGCCTGGTCTACAAGAGCTAGTTCCAGGACAGGCTCCAAAACCACAGAGAAACCCTGTCTCGAAAAACCAAAAAAAAAAAAAAAAAAAAAAAAAAAGAAAAATAGGTTCCTTATATGCTGCTGACCAAGGATTGTAATGAGTTTTTTTTAAAGATTTATTCATTTATTTATTATATATGCAGTATTCTACCTTCATGTGTACCTGCACCCCAGAAGAGGGCACTAGATCTCACGTGGTTGCTGGGAATTGAACTCAGGACCTCTGGAAGAAGAAAGAGTCAGTGCTCTTAACTGCTGAGCCATCTCTCCAGCCCTGTGATGAGTTTTTTTGGGGGGGAGACTTGTCATTTTGATTTGGGAAAATTTTTGTTGTTTTGTTTTTTGAGGTAGTCTCTAGTAACCCAGGCTGATCATGAACTCTCTTTGTGCCTGATCATGAACTCTTGACCCTTTGTTTTTGTTTTGTTTTTGATACAGGGTTTTCCTAGCTGTCCTGGAACTCGCATTGCTCTGCGGACCAGGCTGGCCTCAAACTCAGAGACAGCTGCCTGCTTCTGCCTCCTTGAGTGCTGAGATAAAGGCATGCACCACCACACCCAGCTTTCTGCCTTCACCTTCTGAGTGCTGGCACACTCAGAAGTACAGAAGTGCACAGGTGTGTACCATCACGACTCCGTTAGTTTTCTGGGTTTTGGTTTTCTTATACCAAGCAGTTAGTAGTAACTTGTGGTCAGAGCTACAGTAGTCCTGTGGTCCCCTTACGTCTGACTCACACTGGGAATGGGCTAGGACATCCTGAGTGCAGGGGCACACTGGGGCCGTGTGCAAAGCCAAGAAAGTAGAGATCCACAGCAGAGCTCAAGATGTGGCTCAGTTGATGCACAGGTCTGTGGGTTCCACATCCAGTACCCTATAAACCAGGCTGGATGGTGCCGTAATCTCAGCATTTTTTTTTAAATATTTATTTATTATGTATACAATATTCTGTCTGTGTGTATGTCTGCAGGCCAGAAGAGGGCACCAGACCTCATTACAGATGGTTGTGAGCCACCATGTGGTTGCTGGGAATTGAACTCAGGACCTTTGGGAGAGCAGGCAATGCTCTTAACCACTGAGCCATCTCTCCAGCCCAATCTCAGCATTTTTTCAAATCATGGACAGGCCTAGAACTTTCCATCCTCTGCCTCAGTCTCCTGAGTGCTAGGATTTCTGGCATGGGCCACACACCCACAGGGGTATAGGAGACTTTCTGAAGGACTACCACATGGTGGCTTCCTCCTCCCAGGACTGTAGTGAGTTTTCCCTTTCCCTACTTCCCAGATGCCCTAGCAAGAGGGTAAACTTGGCAGTGGCCATTACCCCTGCCTCTGTGGCTCTGGCCCAGTCTGGCAATGGGGGGCGTGGTTGAAGGGGGCAAGTACGGCATGGGGCTGAAGCGTGTGGGCCCAGTCAAGAAGATAGGAAACAAAGGTCCGTGCAGCTGATTGTCTTTTAGACAGCAAAAGTGGGCAAACTGGGCCAAATGCCCTCCTAGTGACCACAGTGTTCGCACAACCGATTCCTTCCTTCTGAATTCACATGGTGCATCTTTGGCCTCCATCTTGGTTCCAGTATTAGTTAGGATAGGATGTGATAGCATATATATATTCCCAGCATGTGGCAGGCTGAAGGGAGACAGGTCTCAGTTTAAGGCCAGCCTAGGCTATGTAGTGAGACCCTGTCTCAAAAAAGGGTAGAAGCTGGATGTGGTGGTGGACACATGAATTTACAGCGCTGGAGAAGCAGGAGGATGACCCACGAGTTTGTGGACCAGCTGGGGTGACATAGTGAGTTTCAAGCCAGCTAGGGCTACATAGTGAGGTCCTGTTTCAAAAAGAGGAAAGGGAGTGGGGGTAGACCCATGAATGGCCCAGAAGGTTAAGGAGTTTGTCTTGTTCTGTCCCGGGACCTACATGTTAGAAGGAGAGAAGGGACCCCAGAACTTCTAACTTCCACATAAGTGCAGTGGCATGTGCACCCACATACCTCACACAGACTGAATAAGTACTTGTTATTAAAAGAGATGTGTAGCTTTGGGCCGGGGAGTTGTTCTCGGTCACCACTGACTCAGGAGATCCCCGCAGCACCAGGAGAATGGTCACCAACACTCGTTTTGTGAAACAGGGTCCTGTATCTTGAACCTGTGTGCTTCCTGGGATGTCACCAGACCCCACGAAGGGAGAGAAGGAACAGCTGACAAGTCACGGGGCTCTCTCTGCCGTTGTCTGTGGGGAGGATGGAGAAAAGTGGGAATTTGGCTCAGCCGGCAGAGTGTGTGCCCTGGCTTCCGCCTGCAGCCTGACTGGCGCCGAGCATGGTGGTGGCCCCTGTAATCACAGCACTCGGCGAAGGCAAGAGGATCCGAAGTTCAGTGTCATCCTAAGACACAGAGAATTTAAGACTAGCCTACACTACATAAGCCCTGTCTCAAAATAAATAAAGGATATTTACTTAATCTCAGACTTTGACTGCTTTCAGTTCAGCTTCCCTGTGATGAGGTCATATTCCCATCTGTTTGTAGATAACATCATAAGGAGCATGTCCCTCCCAGGTGCTAACCCCCAGGTAGGTTAGCTCTGAGATCCAACTCGCAACATAGGTAGGGTGCTGAGAGCCCTGAGTGGGTGAGTAGTGCCCCTCTCTGTGTTAAAGCCACAGTAAGCACCGGGAATGGAGCGCACTGGAAACTCTGGGTTCCATCCCTAACATGGTCTCCATGGAAATGGTGGTGCATGTCTAGTATGCAAGAAGTGGAGGAATAAGGATCAGAAGTTCAAGGTCTTCTCCAGATGCAGTAGAATAAACCTTTAATGCCAGCATTCAGGAGGCAGGAGCAGGCCCATCTCTGAATCTGAGGCCAGCCAGGGCTACATAATCAGACCCTGTCTCAAACCATAATAGCAAAACATGAAGACAGGATAGAGTGTAGGGCTTGGAAGTATGGGTCTGTAGTTAAGAGCATGCACTGCTCTTGTAGAGGACCAAGTTCCATTCCCAACACCAGTATTGGATGGCTCACCTGTAGCTCCAAGGGATCCAACACCCTCTTCTGGTTTCTGTGGGTACTGCATTCACACATAGACAAAGCCACACATGCAAAAAAAAACTATTAAACATCTGGGTGGAGGTGGCACACTCTTTAATCCCAGCAGGCGCATCTCTGGAAGTTTGAGGACAGCCAGGGCTACACGCAGAATTCCTGTCTCGAGAAAAACAAAAAACTCTTGTTCTGGGACTGGAGGGCTGGCTCAGTGGTTAAGAGCACTGTCTACTCTTCCAAAGGACCTGGGTTCAATTCCCAGCACACACATGGCAGGTCACAACTGAGTTCCAGGAGATCCAACACCCTCAACGGAGGCAAACATTAATAATAATAATAATAATAATCATCATCATCATCATCAGAGGGAAAGAGGCAAAAGTTGGGTAGAGTCCCACAGCCTGCTGGGGCTTGTGTTTTAAAATTATATAAAATAAATCCCTAAAAAGAAAGGATGGCCAAGTAGTGGAGGCACACACCTTTAATCCCAGCACTCAGGAGGCAGAGGCAGGCGGCTCTCTGTGAGTTTAAGGCCAGCCTAGTCCAGGACAGTCAGGATTATTAGACAGAGAAACCCTGTCTCAAAAAAGGAAAGAAAAAGGACGAGTTTGAGGCCAGCTTGGGCTACCCATGAGAGATAGTGTCTCAAAGCAACCTCATAAAAAAGAGAAGCTAAATGAAAGAGAGAGGGTGGGAGCATTTCTTACAGAAAAAGACTGCTTTGCCTCATCACCTTGCTGACCCCTGCGGGAATTTGGGTTTGATACAATAACCCATACCTGGATATAATAACCCATACCTGGGCCTATAAGATGGATCACCAACTGAAGTTGCTCACCACCAAGCCCAACAACATGAATCGCTCCTGATCCCCAGGATCTACAGTAAAAAGAACCAACTCCCAGAAGTTGTCCTCTGACCGCCCTTATGTGCGCACGCGCTCACACACACACACACACACACACACACAAATAAATACATGTTTTTAAATAACTTTTCTTTTATACAGATGAGTATAAATCTTCATTTTTTTTTCAGTGCTGGGATTGAACCCAGAACTTGCACATGCTAGGCAAGTACTCTACCATTCAACCATATCTCTAGCCCCACTCTGGGGGATTCTAGGCAGGTGCTCTACCTCTGAGCCACACCCCAGCCCCTCACTGGGGGATTCTAGGCAGGTGCTCTACCACTGAGTCACACCCCAGCCCCTCACTGGGGGATTCTAGGCAAGTGTTTTACCTCTGAGCCACACCCCAGCCCCTCACTATGAAATTCTGGACAATGTCTCCACCTACTTTGGAGTTACACAGAGTCTCAGCTCCTGAGTGTACTTCACTGTAGTTAGAAGTCATGGTTGGTTTGTTACCATTGGCAGGGACAGCGTATTTCTATGTAGCCAAGGCTGGCCATGAGTTGTCTGAATTCTTTACAGGTACACTAAGGATCTTTAAGGATCCCTAACGACGGCAAGGGCTTAGCCAAATGCAGAAGTTCTTGGCACAGTCACACCAACTTCTCCACTCAACCCTGAGGGTAAAACTGGTGTATAAAGTGGGATAAACCCACAGCCAGCCCAGATACTGGAAACCACCTATGTTTCCCTCCCTGGTGATTAGGGGCAAGCTTTTAGCCAGACCTTTGTAGAGATCATAGGCTGGTTGGCAACTGCTTGGCTTGGTGAACCCTGGTTAGCATAGTGTTCACTTAGCAGAGTATAATGGCGCACACCTTTAAACCGAGCACTCAGGAGGCAGAGGCAGGCAGATCTCTGAGTTCGAGGTCAACCTGGTCTACAGAACGAGTTCCAGGATGGTTAGGGCTGTTACACAGAGAAACTGACTCGAAAGCCCCCAAAACAACAACAACAACAAAAACAATACCAGACAGTGGTGGTGGCATACTCCTTTAATCCCAGCTCTTGGGAAGCAGAGGTAGGTGGGTCTCTGAGTTCAAGGCCAGCCTGATCTACAGGGCTAGTTCCAGGAAAGCCAGGACTACACAGAGAAACCCTGTCTTGAAAATACAACAAAACAAAACACTGTGTTTACAAACCCAATGCTCCTGTAAAAAGAAAAAAGTCCCCTATAAGGGTTTTTAAAGTTTATTTATTTTTTATGTATACAGTGTTCTGCCTGCATGTACGCCTGCAGGCCAGAAGAGGGCACCAGATTTTATTATAAATGATAATGAGGCACCATGTGATTACTAAGAATTGAACTCTGGAAGGGCAGCCAGTGTGCTTAACCTCTGAACCATCTCTACAGCCCTCCAGGAAAGGTTTTTCAGGTTGGTTCAGTAGGTAAAGCACTGATGCCAACCTGATTGACACCTTGAGTGTCACCCCTGAGACCCACAATGCGGAAGGAGAGGACCAACTCCCATAAATTGTTCTCTGGCTTCAAAATGCATCTCATGACTCGTGGCCTCCCTTACAAATTAAATAAATAAATGTGACTTAAAAATATTTTCCAGAGCCGGGCGGTGGTGGCGCACGCCTTTAATCCCAGCACTTGGGAGGCAGAGGCAGGCGGATCTCTGTGAGTTCGAAACCAGCCTGGTCTACAAGAGCTAGTTCCAGGACAGGCTCCAAAACCACAGAGAAACCCTGTCTCGAAAAACCAAAAAAAAAAAAAAAAAATATTTTCCAGGAGCCGGGCGATGGTGGCGCACGCCTTTAATCCCAGCACTCGGGAGGCAGAGGTGGTAGGCGGATCTCTGTGAGTTCGAGACCAGCCTGGTCTACAGAGCTAGTTCCAGGACAGGCTCCAAAGCCACAGAGAAATCCTGTCTCGAAAAACCAAAAAAAAAAAAAAAAAATTTCCAGGGGCTGGAGAGATGGCTCAGCGGTTAAGAGCACTGATTGTTCTTCCAAAGGTCCTGAGTTCAATTCCCAGCAACCACATGGTGGCTCACAACCACCTGTAATAAAATCTGGTGCCAACTTCTGGCCTGCAGGGACACATGCAGGCAGAACATTGTATACATAATAAATAAATATTTAAAAAAATATTTTCCAGTTCTTCAGATAACCAAACAGTTGTTCCTGGGTTATGGATGTGTGCTGTGGGGCTAAGTGCAGATTCTAGGAGTCTGTAATAGGTAAAGCAGGATTTAACCCCAGGAATCAAACACACCAGGCAATCAGGGGCTCTACTGTTGAGGCAGACCTACAGGCCCCAGGTGAGACTTTCCTTCTAGACCTTTTGCTGCCTACTCTAGTTTTTCCTCCCTCACAAAGAGTCATCCCAGGGTCATTCCTGGGTATGTTCATCCCTAGAAACCAGAGGCAGAATATTGAAAGTAAGCATGGCTGAAATCTTCAGAACATACATGCACCTGCTAGTCAGGGACATATGAGTCTTAGTTTTTAAACGGTCTCAGCATGTTGTCCTGCTAGGCCTGGAACTCACTACGTAGACTAGGTTGGCCTTGAACTCATAGAGATATTTCTTTTTTTAAATATTTATTTATTATGTATACAACATTCTGCCTCCATGTATGCCTGCATGCCAGAGGAGGGCGCCAGACCTCTTTACAGATGGTTGTGAGCCACATGTGGTTGCTGTGAATTGAACTCAGGACCTTTGGAAGAACAGGCAATGCTCTTAACCGCTGAGCCATCTCTCCAGCCCTCTTAGAGATATTTCTATCTCTGCTTCCCAAGTACTGGGATTAGTGGGTGAGGTGTGACCCACACCTCACCTCACTGGGAGGTCACTTGAAGGACCCATCTGGTTCCCATGGTAACATTTATCTCTTCCTATACTCTCTCTTGACTAGAATTTTTTGTTTTGTTTAAATTTTGAGGCGGAGTTTTGTTTTGCTCATGCTGGTTTTAAACTTCCTTTGTAACCATGGATGACCTTGAATTTCTGACCCTCCTGCCCCAGCTCCCAAGTACTGGGATTACCTTACAGGCATGCACTACCATACCTAGCTTATGCGGTGCTGGGGACGGAACCCAGGACCTTCAGGCACGTGAGACAGACACACTACCAACTGAGTTACATCCCCAACCTGGCTCTTTCTCTATGTCTTACCTGCCCTAGGTAAGAGGCCAGTCCTGGACACTGACCCCTTCTAGAAGCTACTCCTCAGAGTCCTGGTGATGGAAAAAGAGGTAGCCATGCCTAACCTTAGCTCTCCCCTATTCCACTCTTTTGCAACAAAGTTTCACTGTGTAGCCTTGGCCGGCTGGAATTCACAGAGAGTCTCCTGCCTCTGCCTCCTGAATGCTGAGATCAAAGGCGTGGGCCACCACACCTGCCTCGTTCTGTCTTTGGTTGAATTCTTAAATAAAACTGCCCAGAATGTTGATCCAGGGATGGGGCATCGTGTATGTTGTGAGCATCCAGTCTGCTCTCAGGCTGAGCTGGAAGTCAAGGGAGGTCTTCCCAAGT